ACCTGGGATAAACCACTGAACCACAGTGACATCTGTTTGTTCTATAAGGGTGGGGCTGGGGTGGGCAATTTCTTCACATAGAAAATAGAGAAAACTCAGGTCTCTGGCATCGGTAATTTACCTGAGTTAAACCATTCTTAAAGTGAAATGATGCCCTGCTTTCTGCTAAGTTTATCACTTTCTTAAAAAAAAACTCCTCTTCTTCAAACTTCTCCGGTTCCATCAATGGCAGAAAATTTCTAGTAGTTACTCTGATTGGAATCATTCAGGTCAGGCGTAACTGCGATTTGTACTGTCATTTCACCATGTCGCTAATCTCCAAACCAATGTCATGGTACCATACTGCCTAGAATTGCGCTATCTAACATGGTAGCCATTAGCCAGATGTGCTTATTTAAATTTAAATTTAACTTAAAAAGAAAAATTCCTCCATAGATACATTGGCCACATTTTAAATGCTTAATAGCCACACACAGCCTGTAGCTACCGTATTAGCGCAGATTATAGAACATTTCCATCATCGCAGAAAGTTCTAATGGACAGGGCTGGCCTAGAACCTAAAATCCAAACTCCTCAAACCAGCAACCAAGGCTGGCTGTCATTTAGAGCCAGCCCATACTTCCAAAATTGCCGGCTACTTTCCCCAAACACTGACACTGAGCTCTGTCTAGGCCAGGCTCTCCCATACCTCCGACAAATCATGTTCACCCCTGATTCTGTGCCTCTGCTCACCAGGTTCCTCATCACTGACACAGATGAGTAGAGAAATCAATGTCAAGTCGCCTAAGGAGCGGCATTTTCTGCCATGACAAAAGGCAATGATGCATCTATGAAATTTTTATCCCAGCAAAATGTTCTGCTAACGAACAACTCCAAAAAAAGGACTCTTCCTCATAAGACTGTAATGAGCTTCAGGCTCGTCAGGACTTGCTAGAGGATTAAGTGAAATGCCACTTCTCTTGGCACTCAGTACCAATCTGAGTTGTTTAATTTTTTCACAGGGGCCTATCCTTTTTCCTCTTAAATATACTGTATGGACATAGGGAGCAGGGAGCAGGTCTTGCATGCATTTCTTCTGCATCTTCCTCTCCTATCTCACTTCTCTACCCAAACAGAGCAGAGGGTGCAAATTGGTCACTGTGTGAGGGCCGGATATGATCAATAGCATGTTGCTTTGTCCAGAGTATATTTTTGAAAAATTTTGGATCACTTGTCAACCTTTAAAAGTTGGGAGATTTCACATCAGAATCCACATTTTTGGTTTCTTGAAAAATCAGTAACTCTAGCAACCCTGGGTGAGCACTCCTGCATAGCTCTATTAGCTGGAGCTGAGTGCCACCTACCCCCTTTTAAGACGGCACGTATTCTCCTGTTTATCACTTTCCCTCTGGTTATTTCACTCCCTCATTTCCTGCCTGGCCCCTGCAGGCTTCTGCGTTTACAACTCTTGTGGAAGACGATAAATGAACTGAGAATGGAAAAACTACACTCTGTAAACACAGCCAGGAGGCCCTTACTGCCTGTCTCAATGGGCGACATGTTTGTTTTAAGCAGCTAAAAACAAAACTCTTATTTTAGCCATTAGCTGAAGACCATGACCTCACCCGCTGATTTTAGCTATTCTTCCTGGGCTCCACAAGAACTGATAATGGATTAGGGAAATGGCCAACTGGAAGAACAGAAGGCAGCCAGCCTAAATAATCACACGCAAACAATTGCGACTCAGAGTAGAACATTGTTCCATGAACACAGAATGCTTCCCCCAAATGCATGGAAATCACAGCACTCATGATGCTGAGTGTTGCTGGCAGCTGCCCAGTGAATCTGCGGCTTCACACAGAAAGGCTAAACTTGTTCACTCTAACCCATATCGATTTCTCCTCTTTTGAACACTTCATTATAGACTGCTGTGTTGTCAAACTGTCTTCGTGTCTTGTCTCTCCCACTCAACCATTAAGTTCCTTATACACTCTTTGCTATCCTTCTCATGGCTAGCACAGCACATCAGGGAGCTCTTAACCTGGGGTCCATGGATTGGCTTCAGTCACAGGCAAACACTAACGGGTTATCAAAGCTCCTTATAAAAAAGGGGCATACCCATGGTCAGTGCTTCAGGACTGGGAAGAAAATTAACTTTAAGGTATTTGTAAAAGGCACAATAGTTAACGAAATGCCTGGTGGCCCTGGTGACATTCCTCTAGTCTGTTAGTTATCATTCTCAGTGTTTTGGCAGCTGCACATTTCCAAAGCACAAGTTTCATGTTTTCATTAAGGTCATGGGTAAAAAACGTTAAGCTATACAGGGCCAACTTCTGTACCATACTGTAGAGACTAAGTGAATAGGGAGCAAAACTGCCATTCTGTCCAACTGGGTACAAACACACTAACCATAATATTTAATCCCTACTTCTCCACCTTGTCTGAAAGGATGCTGCAAGAATCTTCCAGGTGCCTTTAATTCAAGATTCATCAAACTTGAGCATTCTCCTTATCTGCGACTAATTTAATGACTCCTTCTTAATAGGAAATGTAGTTAATTTGACATAAACTATATCTTTGCGAAGTTCTGCAGGTTTGTGAAACACATGTGTCTTCTCCAAATGTACATAAGCCATATCTTTACTAACCTATGCTCAAGTTATGCTGAGCAATGGTCTCACTTACATCTGGTTTCCAGAATGTATCTTTTCCTCATTTTTGAAAATAAGGATGATATTTGCTTATTTCCTGCCTTTTGAAACTCTCCCATTCTCCTGATTTTTCTAAGCTCACACTCAGTAGTTTCCCTACTCCAGCTCTGAGTTCTTTCATCTGGGAAATGGTTCACCTGGGCCTAGAGGCAAATAGATTTGCAATAGCTAATGTAACAGTTATTATCATCTCTCCTAACTCCACCATTAACAACTCCAGTTTGAAGATCTTTTGCCTTCATTGAGAAGAATTAAATTGAATAGTTCAGCTTGGCTTTTACCTACTAAAGCACCACCTTCCCTTAGCGATTCCTTCTTGCTGTGCCTGTCAACAGCATGTTTACTGAGGGCGCAGGTCTAGGCACTGCGCTCTCTTCTCGGTGCTTGTCTTACAGAGAAGCTAAATACCTCCTCCTCCACTACTTACCTTTCTTTTAAAATCAGATCATCAAAAAGATCCCTATGTCATCACACATTTAAAAAAAATCATTTGTGTTTTTTTTTCCTCTTAAGTTTCCTGCATCTTCTCTTATTTTTCAGAATTATTTGCTATCTTAGAATGTGACTTTTAGTTTCTATAACCTTCCCAACATCGCTGATTTCAATATTCTGTTAGAGACATTAATCATAGAATCATATCTATAATATGGTTGAAAACCTACTTTACCAAATTCTTGGGCAGGGCACACTTACCAAACTCCAAGATATTCTTTCTATTACTTTTATATCAATAAAGAACTCCTATAGGTCAGAATTCAGTCAAGAATTTAGTGCCTCGCTGCTGATAGAGAAAATTGCCTGAAACTCATCTGAAGTAATAACAGGCTGGCAATGTGACCATCTCTACATTGGTCTCATACTTGACTGAATTTACAAGGAGTTTTGGGTAAAAGAGATAAGATTTGGTTTTCCACCTGCGTCTAAAAATAAATAGTATATATATTTTTTTAAGTAGAAATCATTTTTTTTTAAAGATTTGCCCTGAGCTAACATCTGTTACCAATTTTCCTTTTTTCTTTTTTTTTCCTCCCCAAAGCCCCAGTGCATGGTTGTACATCCTAGTTGTATGTCCTTCTAGTTCTTCTACGTGAGCTGCCACCACAGCATGGCAACTGACAGATGGGTGGTTTGGTTCTGCAACCAGGAAATGAATCTGGGCTGCTGAAGCGGCGAGAGGGCCAAACTTCAACCACTAGGCCATCAGGGCTGACTCTAAATAGCGTATTTCTGCGTTTAGTCAGATGCACAAATTCTGTAAGATATATAACACGACTTCCAAGCTCTTGAGTCTTCACCCTCCTGTTCCCCAAACACATCATCACTTTGAGTGGCAACCTCTCTGTTTATATTTCTAGGTTTGGCTGAGTAGGAAAGTCAGAAGAAAAGATACACCAGGAAAAGGGGCATATTTTCCCGCATGAAAATTGAACAGGAAATACATCATGTTAGTTCCATGACCTGAATATGTGGACAGATCAGATGGCTCATGTACTTTATGACAAAACTTCTTGCTAGCTATTCATTCAAGAGTAAAAGACAAAAGGAAAAGTTAAGATATAATAAACCTTCAATACACAAACCTCCTACTCCTAAGAGGAAAAGAGGGCAAGAACTTTTTAAAAGCTAAAATGTGTGGTCAATCTAAAATCAGAAGTAATGGTGCCTGGGGGCATATAGTACCCAGTCATGTTCCTGAACATTAGATTGGTTGCTGGCAGACAAGAATTCAAAGTCAAAGAATGGTAAGGTAAGACACGCTGGGAAGTCTGGAAAGAGATTTTTGTGTTATGTTATATGGCAATTAGGAGTTAAGGTTGCAGAGGAAATTAAAGTTGCTAATCAGCTGACTTTAAAATAAAGAGATTATCCTGGATTATCCAGGAAGGCTCAGTGTAATCACAAGGGTCCTTTGAAGTGTCAGAGTGAACAGCCTGAGAAAGACCAGTCTTGACTGGCTTTGAAAGTGGAAGGGAGCACGATGCAGAAAATGCAGGTGGCCTGAGATGCTGGAAAAGAGGAGGAGATGGCCTCTCCCCTGGAGCCTCCAGAAAGGAACGCAGCCATGTAGACACCTAGATCTTGGCCCAGTGAGACCCATGCCGGACCTGTGACCGACAGAACCATAAGATAATACATTTGTGTTGTTTAAGTCACTCAGTTCATGGTAATTAGTTGCAGCAGCAATAGAAACTAAGGCAGTAACTTACATAGACTGCTTTGGAGGAAAGAAAGGCCTATGACGATCTTAACATTCCAAACAGTAAAAGTGTTCTTTCTGAGCTGAAGAAAGAGAATAAAACACTCACTCACCTTTTTATAGGTTTTTTCTTCATTTTGTTTCCCAGGTGCTGCATCTCCATTTTCAGCAGCAGACGACATCTACAAGAGAAAAACATACCTATTTGAATTTACAGCTCTACTCTGAAATACAATATGCTAATAATATTGCCAACTAGAGGATCTATTTTGGTTAATCACGGTTTTGTTGTTATTGTTGTTGTCGCCAAGAAAGGACGTGATTGCTCACAATACTAAAAACAAATCTTTGTTTCCCAATCTTTCAAAAGTAAATTTTTGCTTCCAGATCATTTTGGTAGTATGCTTTACTCCATATGCTATAAGAAAGATGTTATGTAAGTTCAAGCCCATATCATGTGGATAAGTTGCTTTCTACAAAGCTTTTTTTTTTTTAAAAAAAATAACCCTTATTTTCTGGTTATAGATGATTCCTCTAAAAGTATCTGGAAAGTACCAAAAAACATGAATGAGGACAGAAAAAATTACTCAATTCTGCTGCCCTCAGGCAACTCCATTATTCAGATTTTTGTATATTTGTTTCCCCCTTTTGTTCCATGCACTTTCACACTAAAAATACGATACCATCTTACCCAGCATTTTTCACTTAACGTTTATGTAATAAGCATTTTCCCATTTGATTATAAAAATCTCATCGTAAGAATAATTTTTTCTAGTTGTAAGCTACACCACTGTGTGAACACAATTGTGTGTTAATACTTTAGTTAATAATGCTAACATGGAAGGATAGTTGAGGTGGTCCATGGGTTTTGCTTCTAGAAGTAATATAACAATAATTATTTCATGCTTCTTTCTTTGTCCAACTTCAGTGTTTTCTGGGATTAGATTCCTAGAATCACTAGGTCATTGAAAAATTGAAAGCTCTTACAACATATTGCTAAATTTCTTGCCAAGAAGAACATACCCATTCACACCATCAGCAGCAAGTGGGAACTGGTTTCATGACAGGCTTAGCAGTGAGTATTATCATTTTAAATATCTTTGCTAATTTGACAGGTGAAAGAAAGCAGCTCTTGATTTTAATTTGCATCTTTGAAAACTAGCAGTGAAGGTTAACATTGTTTGCATATCTTTTTTTAGCTGTTTGTATTTCTTCTTTTGAGTTTTTTACTGTTTTGTCCATTTATCTGTTGGGGTCTTGGTGTTTTAGTTATTGATTTTTACCTATTATGGTTATTGATATTAGTGGTTTCCTTATTGATTTTTATGTATTAAGGTTATTAATCTGTTTCCAAGTGCATTATTATTTTCCATGCTGCTGTCTTTTGTTTTATAATTATGACATGAAGAAATTTCGTATTTTTCATACTCAAAACCATTGAATACTTTTGTGATTTCTTCCCAATGCTTTTAGATAAATATTTTTTCATTTGGAGATTATCAGATGTTTAAACATGGGTTCCTGTCACTTTTTAATGATAAGATTTTTGCATTTAACTTTTAATTCATGTGAATTTTTAAAGCCAGTTACTTCTGTGGTAAACAAGCATAGCTACACAATCAGGGAACCATATTTAAGGGTCTTATGTTAAACTGCATGAAGGGCTAGAAAGTTCTAGACACCACAGAGGGACAAAACTTCTGACTTTCTCACAAGCCTTTGAAGCACATTTTAAATTTTGGACCTTTAATAAACAAAGTGTGTGCCAAACCTTAGAATTTGCCAGCCATTTCTCTGCACTGGAACTAAATGACTGATTTTACCCCCACTGCCATGAAGCTGATGTGACTAAAAACCATCCAGGAAGATGAAAGAATGGACCACACAGAGCCAACCTCACCATACCTATTACTGCCCACCACTCAAACCATCCCCTTAGATCAATTTTCAATTCCATTCGTGTCCATTCAATTTGTCCATATCAGAATACGGAGTTTTCAAAGACAGATGTTTCATACCCTACTGCTGCCCATGCTGTATCTGCTTAATTCGTTTAAAGAATAATTGGTCTTTCTAGTGTCTTCATAATATTTTGGTGAATTTTGAATATATGTAAGTGGAATTAAAATGTCTGAAAAGTTTTGTAATATCAGGCTCAGGGTAAAAAAAAAAATAAAAAAAACCCAAACCCTCTATCATCTCCCTCCAAAAAAACTTAAATTATACAATTACTTTAAGAATATATAGGTATTTATCTGATATTTGATCCCTGAATTGGCAAAGATTTTTACAAGCTTAAGAGTTGTAGAGGGGGGCCAGCCCCATGGCCGAGTGGTTAAAGTTTCATGTGCTCTGCTTCAGTGGCCCAGGTTCGTGGGTTCAGATCCTGGGTGTGGACCCACTCTACTCATCAGCCATGCTGTGGAGGCAACCCACATACAAAATAGAGGAAGATTGGCAGAGATGTTAGCTAAGGGATAATCTTCCTCAAGCCAAAAAAGAGAAAGATTGCCAATGGATGTTAGCTCAGGGAGAATCTTCCTCACCAAAAAAAAAAAAAAAAAAAAGTTGCAGAGGAATCACAAGTGAAAAAAAATTAATTGATTTGACTATCCAAAATTATCAAATTCTTACTGCCAAAATAGATCATAAGGCAAGCAACAAGTTGGAAAACATGGCAAAGAATGTGACAAACGTGAAAAATTCCCAAACATAAAAAGCTTATTTAAATTGTGCAGATTCCATCCCCTCTCACCCATTCCAGACATTACTCTTGCAATTCTCCCCTTTCTCTCCTCATCGTCAATTTTTCACTCTACTTCATTCCCATCAGCATTCTGTCATTTCTTCCATCTTAAAAAATAAAAACCCTTCTCTTGATTCCACTTCCCCCTCACTTCCTTATTCACACTTGTGGCAAAACTCCTTGAAAAAGATGTCTCTACTCTCAATCCCTGATTCCTTTTCTTATCTTCTCTCTTTAACACACTCCACTCAAGGTTTTGTTCCCACCACTGCCCTGAGAACGTCTTCATCAAGGTCACCAATGACCTCCACGTTGCCAAAACCAAGAGCTAATTCTAAGCCCCCATTTTGCCTGATCTATCAGATTACTGACACACATGTCATGCCCTCCTCGATTGATTTTCTTCACTTGGCTTCTAGAGCACCATACTCTCCTGGTTTTATTTTTTCCCCCTATCTTCTTGGTAACATTCCAGCCTCTTTAGTTGGTTCCTCCTTCTCTCTGCCTAACCTCTTACGGTTGGAGTGTCCAGGACTGAATCCTTGGGTCTCTTCTCTATCCATACTCGCTTTTTTGGGGATCTCTAAATCTCTCTTCAAACTCCAGACTTGCATATCCAATTGTCTTCTTGATATCTCCACTTGGATCTCAAACAGACGCCTAAAATTTTGCAAATCTGAAACTGAATTCCTGATATTCTCTCCCAAACTTCCTTCACTTATACTTTCCTCATCTCAGTTAATGGCCTCTCCAACCTTTTGCTGTTCAGGCTCCAAATCTCAGAGTCCTCCTTCTTTTATACCACAGTCAATGTGGCAGCAAAGCCTCTGAAAGACATCCAGAATCCGGTCACCTCTCACCACTCCTGCTGCACATTCCTGGACAGAGCCATCATCTTCTTATGCAGGGATGACTTTCACGGCCTCCCACCAGGGCTTCCTGATGCCACCCTGTCCTCCTGCAGTCTACTCTCACCATAGTAGCCAGAGTGATCTGTCTCTAAACCTAATGAGATCATGCCACTCTTCCCTTAAGACCCTGCAATGGTTTTCCATTTCACTCAGAGTAAAAGCCCAAGTCCTTGCAATGGCCTGTAAGGCCCCATGTGACTTACCCACCCTCTTGCCATTCCTTCCCTGACCTCAGCTCCTCCGAGTCCTCCCCTGGCTCCCCCTCATTCACTGGGCTTCAGACACTCCCAGTCTTCCTCAAACACACAAGAGCTCTGTTGCAGCTCCTCCCTCCGCCCAGACCATCTCCCCAGACACCTGCTTATCGCCTTCAGGTCTTTGCTCAAATGTCAACTTCTCTTTGATGCTTAGCTTGACCAGCCTATTTTCAACTGCAACCTGTTCAGCTCCTCCCTGCCCCGGTGCTCGTCATCTCCCTTAACTTGTCTTCTTTTTTTCTTTTTTTTTCTGTAGTGCTCACCAGAGACCAACATACTACAGAGTTTCCTTATTGATTATAGTGAATTTTTGTTCTTTTGGTCTGTCTCCTCCTGAATTTAAACTCCACAGAGGCAGAGACTTTAGTTCACTGATGTACCTCAAACACTTAACTGTACCTGGCACATAGTAGGTGCTTAATAAATATTTGTAGAATGAATGAATAAATAAATTGATAAGGAAGATAAAAAGATGCCATTAGATCAATGTAGGCAGCATCTGATTCCGTTTGCCTGGGTGTTTGGTGCTGGGGAAGAGAGCTGACCCCCTGAAGGAGGGCAATAAAGACATAACTTAGGCGTCTGACACCATCAATCACATAGATTCTTTAGAAGGTGCCAGTAGCTTGGGAACTTTAGATAGCTGTCATGGAATAAATGGCAGTATCACCAACTCCTTATAACTTCCTCCACCAACGAAAAAGACTTAGGCTGGAAGTATTTCAGTAGAAATAACCTCCATGTAGGAGTGAAGCCATTTTTTAAAATGTAAAATGCTACTGAATATGCCACATTTTCATTTTCCTGACATAACCAGCTTTCAAAACTATCTGTGAACTCATTTGGAATGAAATCAAGTTTCAAAAAATATGAGGAAGGCTTCCTGGTTATTTTAATCAAATGTATAATTATTCATTATTTTTCAATCACTTTAAAATTTAAAACTAATTTTAAATTTAGAATTTTAAAATATTGGGTTTTCTCCCTAAGAAAAGAAAAACAGATATTTGAAAAAAATATACAAAGAAGAAAATAAAACTATTACCTTTAATCCAACTACCCAGAAATAATAATTGTTAATATGTGGCTATTTTACCATTTGATCGTCTCCAAATGCAATTTTTTTAAGCACAACTGGGACCATACATTCTATACCATTTTGCCCTTTTCACTTAAATTTATATCAGAAATATTTTCTGCATCACTAAACACTAATTAGAAACAATTTTTTTTTTAAGATTGGCTCTGAGCTAACATCTGTTGCCAATCTTCCCCTTTTTTTCCCCCTCCCCAAAGCCCCAGTACATAGTTGTATACTCTAGTTCTCCTATGTGGGATGCCACCACAGCATGGCTTGATGAGCCATATGTAGCTCTGCACCCAGGATCCAAACCAGTGTACCCCAGGCCGCCAAAGCGGAGCACATGAACTTAACCACTTGGCCACAGAGTTGGCCCCCAGAAACAATGTCTAACGTCTGAATAATTCTATTATAAAAATGCATTGCAGGGACTGGTCCTGTGGCCAAGTGCTTGGGTTCACGCACTCCGCTTTGGTGGCCCAGGGTTTCGCCAGTTTGGGTCCTGGGTGCAGACATGGCACCGCTCATCAAGCCATGCTGAGGCGGCATCCCACACAGCACAACTAGAAGGACTCACAAATAAAAACATACAACTATACCAGGGGGCTTTGGGGAGAAAAAGGAAAAATAAAATCTTCAAAAAACAAACAAACGCATCACAGTTCAATGTTTATTAACAGACATTCAAGATGCTTCCTATTTTTCTGTTACAAATAAAACTGTACTCTGTATTCTTATATTTCCAGCAGCATGTCGAACCGAGCTGCCATAGAGTCCTAGAACAGTGACTATTGGGTAAAATAGCATATCTACTTTATAGCAGTATTTTCAATTAAAATCAAACACAAAATATTTGCCAATTTAACTTCTGGCAAAAATATCATTTTATTTTGCACTTCATGATTAACAGTAAGGATGAACGTTTTTGTCACGTTTATTTGGTTCTTTGTATTTCGTTAGTGAATTGTCTGTACAAAGCTTCACCCCATTTCTATATTGGGTATGTTTGTGTCTCCAATTTAGCATGTACTAATGATAACAGGTAAGAGGAAGATTTTCCTTAGCCTTCAACTGTTTAACAGAGACAAGAGAATGAAGACCTAGCTGAAGAATGCCATTTCAGTAATATCACCGCGAAGACTTTGCAGCTTTTAAAACTGAAAAACTTCAAGAGCAACTCTGAAGGCTGTTTGAAAAAACAACCTTAATGAGGGGTTGACTAATTGGCATGAATGAAGGTCAGATGATGAGATGGTCTTTTTTATTGCTTTGTAAATTACCTCTGGACAGTAGGGAAGAGGAGGAAAGAAGGAGGTAAACTTCTATTTTTAAAAAACCAATTCCCTTTAAGCAGCACAAAATAGGCCATAACGACAAAGGGAGGGCATGAAAAGTCACCTGGATTTATAGGTGTTTTGTATATGGCGAAAATGAGATGCTTGGGGATCTTCTGGTAAACTGCAAATGGCTATCACAGAGGTCACAGTGGTCATTACTATTTGTTCCTAGACTTGCTATGTTCCTGCACCAGTTAAGGGGCACCATTCATAACTATGGAAGCCAAGGTAAGTATGGACTAAAAACATTGTTTTTAAAAACATTATAATCATATACATTTCTACATACACAAAAAAGGACGAAAGAAATTCACAGAAGTACTGGTGATGATGCACGGATGATGGGATTATGAATGCTTTGCGTTTTCACTTTTATATTTTGCTATATTCTCCAAGCATTCTGCAGCGAGCACTGCAGCATTTAAAAATCAAGAGAACACTAATGCTATTAAAGAGTTTAACTACACACAGTAATTAATAGCAGAGATCACATCTCCTGGGTTCTGTCCCTTTAGGCATGCTGACATTCACAGAGTTTCCCATGTTTCTATTTGCTTGTTGTTTGTTTAAATTTGATAATGTCAAAGTTAAAGGTCATGAACTAGATATATGATTTAGAACATGTGTAAATAAATATGAAAGAGGTAAGAGCTCTATAATGAGTCAGTTGGAATTAACTGTCACCATAGACTGCATTTTCTTACCTTTGTAAATGAAATGGCAAGTCATCTGTAGTTGGTCACGACGGGTGGCCTATTCATTGTTGAGACTGTCTTCCTTCTCAGGTTCCTGTTAAAATAAAAATCACTGGTTATTATTTACACCTATCTCCACCTCATCTCCCAGAAAGGATCAGAGTGGCTATAGGGATACATACAATGTAACCAGTTAAAACTAAAATAAAGGAAGGAATGTGTGTGACGGAAAAATAAAGGTGGAGAATGAGATGACGCCGGCAATATAGGGTATGCATAGAATGTAAGCCATGTGACCCTGTACAGTTGAATACCCTGCAGTCTCCAGTTCGACTCGGAGATTCCTAGTGGCCACAGCAAAGGAAGAAATGATCAGTTACCTAAATGCCCAATGTCCATGAGAAAAAAGCAAATCAGTTGTTCAAATGAACCACAGGTATGGGGGATTAAGGCTGGAGTGGAAATTTCTCCTGGGGGTCTTCATAAAGGAGACTCCATGAGATGTGTGGGCAATTTTCCAATATTAACCCTGTGACAAATCAACTTTGATTTTCATGAAGGTTGTTTAGATGACACAATCTTAAAGAACAGTTCAACAAACCTCTTTTGCTATAATTATGTTTTTATACAGAAGAGATGCTTGCTCACGGTAACTAATTTTAAAAATACAGAGAGGTGTGAAGTAAAAACAAATAAGGTCCTATCGTATCTCCCCAAGATAACCAATGTTAACAGTTTATTGTATGCCCTCCCCAAATCTTCCCTATGCTTGTTCATGTATACACACACGCATGTTTATTTCTGCCACTTACCAGTATATCTTATGTTTTTTCAAATATATATATCTAACTCATTTTTAAATAACTATCACATTCCACAAGATGGATTTACTATCATTAAATCAACCACTCACTTGTCGATGAACATTCAGACTGTTTCCAGGTTTGGCTACCATGACTAGAGCAGGAATAAACAGCCTTATTCAAACATCTTTATAATAATAGCACTTTTATTTCTGTGGAAAGAATCCTAGAAGTTGGGCCAAACTTGATAAGCATATTAACCATTTGAAAAGCCACTGCTACATTCCTTTCTGCAAAAAGGTTGAAGCAATTAGTCCAACGGGGCATGAAGAGTACCTATTTATTGACATACTTATCAGCACTGGATGCTTGCCATCTTTAAATGTTTGCCAACTTGATGGGCAGATAACGGCCTCTCAGTTGTTTTAATTCACATTCTCTCACCACTAATGGAGCTTATCCTTTTCACAGGTTTTTGGTGATTTATATTCCAGTTCATGCCCTTTGGTTACTTTTATACAGAACTATTTATCTTTTTTCTTTTATAATCAATTTGTAAGATCTCCTAGTATATTATAAACATTAACTCTGTCACGAGTTGCAAGCTATTGTTCACTTTTTGGTTTTGTTCATGGTATCTAGTCATGCAGACATTTTAAATTCTTATAAAGTCAAATCTGCTAATTTTTCCTTTATGGATTTACTGTCCTACTTGGTAAGATAACCAACCTGATGTTATACACGTATTCTCCCATATTTTCTTCTAATACTTTTACGGTTCCATTTTTAACATTGGATCTTTACTCCAAATGGAATCTAACCTCATGCTCCCCTACATGGACAGCTAATTGCCCCAACACCATTGACTTTATAATCTATCTTTTCCTTACTGGAAAGATATACCAGCTTTAGCATACATTAATTTTCCTATATAACTCAATCTATTTCTGGACTCTCTACCATATCCCAAAGATCTACTTGTTGATTCCTGAGCCAATATTATATTGTCCTAAATACAGTAATATGACAGTATGCTTTGATATCTGCTGGTACAAGTTCCCCTTACCAACTATTTTTCTTTCATGTTTAGCAATTTTCTCGCATTTATATATTTTTAGAAAACCAAATTGATTGATCCACCATGTCCCCGTTCCAAGTTGGGATACTGACTGGAATTATAGTAAATTTATAGATGAATTTGGGAAGGATTGATATCTTTGGAATTTTGAGTTTTCTCATGCAAAAACAAGTATAGTTCTCTATTTTTTCGAATGTTATTTTACGTCTTTTACCACAATATTATATATTTTTTGTGTTTGTCTTACTAAATTCATTCCTCGATATTTTAGTTTGTCACTCTTTTAAACTGGGATTTTTCTATTTGCATTTCTAACTGGTTATTAATTCATACAAAGAAAAATGATAGGGTTTCATCTATTATCTTTTACCCAGTCATTTTACCAAATCCTCTTATAGAATTTTAAAAGATTTAAAGGCTCAATCACATCACTTGTAATATTTATACAGCTTCTTTCTATTTCTTCTCTTATTATATTACTGAACTTCTAAAACAATGTTGTGCTGAATGATAGCTCGAGTAACAGCAGTAGTGCCAGGATTAACAACATAAGCCTACAGTAGTCACCACCCAACACAACACTTTTGTTTCTTTGGTAGCATAGTTAGTTCTCTCTGCTATATCCTAATTTTAATTAATCAATTAATTCATTATTTATTTTTTATTGAGGAAGATTCACCCTAAGCTAATATCCATTGCCAATCTTCCTCTTTTTGCTAAAGGAAGATTTGCCTCGAGCTGACTCTGTGTCAGTCTTGCTCTATTTTGAATGGGAGTTGCCATCACTGCATGGCTGACCAGTGGTGTAGGTCTGTGCCCAGGATCTGAACCAGTGAACTCAGGCCACCAAAGCGGAACATGCGAACTTAACCACTACATCACAGGGCCAGCTCTGCTAATTTTATTTTCTTTCTTATTAGAAACGTCTGTATCAAATGCATTTTCAGCATGAGTTGATATAATCATACAATTGTTCTCTTTTATTCTGCTGTGTCAATATATAATGTTGAGAGATTTCATTATGCAAAATCATTCTTATATTTCTAGAATAAACTCTAACTTGGATTTGAGTTATCATTCTTGAAAGGATATTTTCATGGGCAAAATTGGATGACTGCTGTCCCATCTTTACTGGGTTTTGGTATTAAGAAATCGATACTTTTCATGAAATTGGGAGGCATTCTCTATATACACTCAGATTTTTTCTATAATTATTAATTTCTTAGAATTTATAACCTCTCTTTGGATCAAATTTTTGTAACATATTTTATTAGAAAACCATCAATTCCTTTAGATTTTTAAATTTGTTGCCATAAAGTTGCACATAATATTCTCTTACTGAATTCCTCTAACCCTTTTGGGATCCAGGCAATGTCTTTTTCCTTATTCCTGATGTGTGTGTGTGTGGATAGTGTATGTATGTGGATTATATATGTTATACATATATTCTTAACGTTGTATATATTTTTTCACGAGTCATATTTTCCCTTTCTATTATTTGTTTTGTGCCAGTTCCATTAATTTTAGCTTTTACTATTAATAATATCTTCTTTCTTCTGGCTTTTTAAAAATTTCCTAGATGCAACACAGTTTATTTTTCATTCTTTTTTCAAGACAGTATCAAAAGCATTTAGGCTATATAGTATTCCTGAATATATTAATAATTTCTCCATAAGTTTTGATGTGAAGTGCTCTGTTTAATTTATTTCCAGATAATTTGTTTGGACTTGATTTTCAACTTGATCCAGGAACCATCTATAATAGGCTTTCTTAACTTCAAGAATTTACATTTTGATTATTATTCTTTCATTGTCAATTTCTTATTTTATCACACTGGGGTCACAAAATGGGATGAGTAAAATATCTTTTTCTCACCAAATTTATTAAGCTTTTTCCTATAGCCATCGAAACAGATTTTTTTGTGAATATTCCATGCACAAGAGGAAAATGCACATTTTCTGTTTACAGGGTACAAAAATCACTATGTTAGTACCACCCTATATCATTCTCTACTTTGTCAAATTATAAAAGAAATAATTTTAAATTCTCTAATTATAGTTTCAGTATATTCCCCTGTATTTTCACTTTGTGTTTTTTTGCCTTAAAATGTCCGTAATTATGCCGGCCAGTATACAAAGGAAATGCGTATAATAGTGTCCTTGTGACTTGTACTCTTTAATTTTAAAGTATCTTTACTTATTTAATAATTTTGGTCTTGGGTTCCATTAGGTGATGCTAATGTCCCCACTTCTGCTTTCCTTTTATTTGTATATGCTTGCATATCCTTTGTCCATTTCTTTATCTTCAACATTTTTAGTTGTCATTTTGTTTTAGCTGTCTTCTTCACAAATAGCTTGGGGCCAGCCCCGTGGCCGAGTGGTTAAGTTCACAAATAGCTTAAAACTGAATTTTTGTTTTGTTTTTGCCAATCTAGGAGTCTTTGTCTTTTGAAAGGGGACTTCAACAAATTCACATCTATTGTGATAAGATTATATTTGGTTTGCTTCCATCATACTTGTTTACTATTAATGACATTTACTGTTACTACATTTATTTTTATGCATTCCTTCTATGCTGGATTAATCAAGTTTATAATTCCATTTTTTCCTCCTACTAATTAAAAAATTTTATTCCACATACATTTGTCAGTTATCTATTTTTAAATCATTAAAAAAATCTATATTTTTCTATTAAATAAAATGACTTTATGCCACCCCCACTGCCCAGACATTTTCCCCTTGGCCTACTGTGGTGGACACGGAGCTGCACACCCAGATCTCTCTTCGAGGAGGGAAGCTTGCTCACCACTGACAGTGTAGTCAGCACACACCTCCAGCTGTCAGCCCTTTCGGGGTCTGCCTCTGCTGAGAGCCACCTCACCGTGGGTCATGGCCTCCCTGGGGCTGCCCACATCCTGTGACTGAATGACCAGTTTGGCCTCTGGTTTTGTGGGTCCTGCATGGGAGTTTGACTTCTCCTTCTGCTTCCCCAACCGTGCTTGCTCCCTCCTCCTTTCACAGTTGTATTAGTCTCCAAACTGTGAGGCTTAAAACGACAGAAATTTCTTCTCTCACAGTTCTGGAAGCTAGAAGCCCAAAATCAAGGTGTCAGCAGGGCCATGTTCCACCAGAGGCTCTGGAGAAAATCTTTCCTTGTCTCTTCTTGCTTCTGCGGGTGGCCGTTGATCCTTGGCGTTCCCTTGGCTTGCAGATG